TAATTTGTGTAAGAATTTTAAGCGCTGCATTGAATGATGTGGTGAAATATTTTTTATTCGCTTTTCAGTATTGAATAACTGATCCATCAATGTTTGACGCTAAATGATCAGAAATAAATGGAACGGATGGCACTTTTCCTTTGGAAGTTCGAAAAAACATTGATGATGGATAGAAATAGGTCGAAACACATTCGAATCACCTTGTATAATACATGGTTCAATTCAGAATAAAAAAACCTTTCAGAATCTATGAAGAAATTATCAGGGCCGTATTTAAAAAACAAAAGTTGATGATGGTTCTACGGATACGAAAGGTCGCATACAAAAGTCGGTATAACCACGTTAAACGTCATCAAAAGTTGCTATAAAAAAGTATTTTCAGTTTTTTTGTATCTCTAATAATAACGGAGAAAAAAAAATAAAATAGACATCCCAAAAATAAAATTTAGTTTTTTCACTTATAATATCACGAGAGCTTCAATTATTTCCGGAAATTTTTTCGAGAACCCGAATATTTTGAACATTCTCCCGAGTCGAAGACGAGGGCGAATTTTCTAAATATTTGTGTTCGAGAAAAAATTCCCGGATATTAATTGAAGCTAAAGTGGTATTCGGTAAGAAAATTTCCACCAAACATTTTCGATCAATTCAAAAGAATTTCAACAACACTTATGATGGTTGTTTGTGATGAAATGTAAGAACTAACGTATAGTAATAAATGGTAACAACATGCGTTTTTGTAAATTTCGAATTTGCAAGTATACCTACATAATATTATATGGTAAACTGTTGATAAATGACTTTTATTCATTGACTTATAGAATGAACTTGAAATAATCTGAAGTTGAATGAAAATGTCATTTGACCTATAATCGTCAAAAAATTTCCAGTGTAATTTCATGCTCCGTCCCCCAAGGAGGAGAAAAAAATTTCCAAGAAATTTGTTTAGTTGCTATGATAACGATACGGAATGCAGGCTTTAAATTGATGGTAAATGTGTGGTGTGGAATTTTCGATATAACTAAAAAACTAGAAATAATTTTAAACATTTTCGAAGGCTCTTGATATGAGCCCCCGAATGCGCAACTCTTTCCCCATTTAACCGACTTCGTATCTCCTACCGTTTTCGAGATCCCCATGCTGTTCAACCTTATCTTGGACAGACTGTATAGTTGCAAAGAGACTTGAACGCCCTTCAAAATGATGTGCATCTTGACCTCCCTTTCCATATTAGGTTTTAACCCTAATAGCACTCAACGTCCTAGGGACGTCCCTATTTGGTACAATTCAAGTCCGAATGTCCCGGACCAGAAATAAGTGTCCTTGGGACGTCCCATCCCGTACATCTCGTGCAATGTCCGAGTAAGGACGTCCACGGAATTTCCGAGCTGGTACATCATTTCAAATGTCCTAGAAATAGCATCTTTCAGACGTCCCACGTGGGACATATTGTGGAATGTCCATGCAAGGACGTTCTTGGTATGTCCCTCATGGGATATGATCTTGAACGTTCCTTCAGGGACATCCATCGGATGTCCCGAGTAGTACATATTCTGGCTTGACTTCAGATCTTATATAATGTTCCTTCTTGACAATCATGAAATGTCCCTGATAGTACATTCCTTCAGATATCTCTGCACAGACGCCCTTAATATTTCGTATAAAAATCAAAATGTCCCTCAGGGGCATCCTTCGAATATCCCTTATGGATATCCGTCGGATGTCCCAATTGATACATGAACTATACTAATCCCCAATGTCCTAGAAATATCTTCCTATGGACGTCCCAGTCGGTACTTCCAATATCTTGTCCCTGCAAGGACGTTAACTTACACCTCGCCGACGAATGATTGCTCGCAGGAAATAAATACTCCCCGTCAATGTCCTTCACGTAAGTCCATTGGACATCCTTGGAAAACTTCTTCAGGATCTATTGGGGACCTTCTACGGACCATCAACTCAACAGGTTGTCCTCATCAGTTATGCAAGATCCGGTTCTAGAGGGACTCAGAAAAATTCAAATTCAAGAATAATTCGTACGTCCCTGGTACATCCTATGGACATCCAATTGATATCCCTCAGCGTTGCGGAAAGGTTGTCCTCGATAGTTGTCCCAGGAACATCCCTCAAGGACTTCCCTAGTTTGTCCTCAAGTAGGACATTTGTGCGTCCCACAGACGTCCAATGGACGTCCACGGTACCAAATTTGAACGTCCTATAAACGTCCTGAATGTCCCGACAGGACGTCCTAAGGATATCCATGGGACATAATTGTGTTATTAGGGAAGGGTCACATCTACCCCTCGTAGGGGGTTGAATAAGGAGGGTTAAAAATATGCATTCTGAGTGTCTTCCTCGGAAATGGAATTGACGTGATTTTTCGATTTTTCATATCATTTACTGAATGGAAGATATTATTTCTAAGGTGACACGACATTTTTCGGAAACTGCTCGACAAAAAATGATTAACTAGGGAAAGAGAATTGAACACCCTTCAAAATGATGTACCACTTGACTCCCTCTCTCATTTGAGATTCTAAGGGTAACATCTACCCCTCCTAGGGGGTTGAACTAAGAGGAATGACACTTATCATTTCAAGTTTCCCCTTAAAAAATAAAATCGACCTGTTTTTTCGATTACTCATATTATTCACTGCAAGGAAGATATTGAGGGTGTGAAGTTTTCAAGATATCATTCTGTATTATCTATCATATGTGAGCTGTCGTCTGTCGAATGTCATATGTCATACGTCATACGTTGGCTGTAATCTACTAAATGTATATTTTCAATTTCCTTCGTCTGAACCCGATTTTTCGGATCCACCCTGTATATCATACTTCATCTTGTTATAGTAGTTGTGTTATTTCCATTCTTATCGGCAGCTTGCGGTTAGCTCGCTTATTCTAGACGGATGTGGATTGCGGTTAGTGGGCGTGGCCTCCAACCAAATGCTGGCCTCTGATTGGCTAGCCGAGTACACGTGGTTTGGAGACAAGTGGAGGAGTGGCACTGAACTGGAGAGCTGGGATATCTACTTATGAGAATTTCCTTTCAACACTCGTTTAACAATCAGAAAAAATGATTTCTTGTATGTTTGCACGATTGAGAACCATAAAGTTAAAATATGAACATATCACACAGTTTTTACATACAATGCGCGGAGTATGAACTTCGCGCATCGGTTTACTTCACGAACTGCTTCGCAGATGGGGTCGTGGTAACGTAGGAAACTAAAACAAATTGTCACTTCGCAATTTGTCATCAATGCGCGAAACTTGTCATTTTTTGACGTCTGTAGGAAATAGTTATTTTTATATCTAGAGCGCGAAATGCTACTTTGGTGATCGAGATCTGATGAGTATTTCGCGCTCGAGTTACAAACAACAGTTTCTCTACAAAAGTCAAAAAATATAGTTCTGAAGTAAAAATATGCTTAGCTTGATATGAAAAATAGTGTTGAACTGGCTTAAAAGGCCTCTCCCTATCCTCCCTAGGTCCACACGATGTTCCACGAACATAATAGGAATTTCCTTCCGTGCGCTCCAAGAGATAAAACAAAGCTATTGTTGAACATTCAGAAATGAACGATTTTGTGGGTTTGCTCGATTGAGGACCATAAAGTTGAAATATTAATATCTCATATATTTTACATAACAATGCGCGAAGTAGGTGCAAGGTGATTTAGGAAACTGAAAAAAGTGTCACTTCGCAATTTGTTATCAATGCGCGAACCTTGTCATTTTTTGACGTTTGCAGAAAAAGGAAATTTTTGGTCAAATCTGTTCGATTTCACATGACAAATGTACCTACTCTTTATCAAACTTTCTAGCTTCAACGGTTTTTGTGTTATTCGCTCTTGAAGAGATTTATTTTCCACTTATGACATTCTAATAATTTTATTTATTAAATTAAGAATGGGAAATCTCTGAACTACAGATATATGGTAAACACCCAAATATGAAGATTTAGCCCAACATTCCTTGTGAAAATATTGCTGGTTTAAGAGATACAGGGTGGTTAGGGAATATATTTTATTCCAAAATATCTTCTCCTTAACCACCCTGTATCTCTTAAACCAGCAATATTTTTATAGGCCTGTTCGTTTGTATTGCTGAACTTGCTCAAGCTGATTTTTTTCCATAGTTGTTGTCTGTTCATAGCATGACGTGAACAGAGAAAGTCATAGAAAATATCAAGTTCAGCAGGTACAGCAAGCACAAACGAAAACATGCCTTTTGAGGCATGTTGGGCTAAATCTCATTATTTTTGTGTTTACTATCTGTAGTTCAGAGATTTCCCATGCTTAATGAACCACCCTGTATATAATGATAACAAACAAAGTACCCCAATGATGTATAGAACACAGTAAAACAGGAGCAATTTTGTATTATAGCCGTGGAAAAAAAAGGCCTATGGCGCAGTTCTATGCATTTGTAGAGAATTGTAGGGTTGCCATCTCTAAAATGTGAAAACCAGGACAAGGCTACTTGAAAATCCGGACAAATTCCGGACAGCGGGAATTTTGAAAACTCGGCATCATTTTTTGTAATTCCATTTTCATATACATATGAATGAGTCCAAGGGTGAATGGTGAATATCACTCTAGATATCACTATAATTCGGGTATATTACCTACATATTTTTGTTGCACAAATCGAATAAAAACTCAAAAACATTTTTGAACATCAAGAGTTTGAAACAAAACTATATAAGTCACATAAATAATACCAAATCTACAAATTTTCAATTTTTGAGCAAACTTTCACTGACATGATAATAGTTTATGTCAGTGGTTTGAACTGACGAGAATCCGGACAATTTTTCAAAACCCGCCCGGACGTCCCCGGACGCCTCTAAAACCCGGACATGTCCGGGGAAATCCGGACGGATGGCGACCCTACCTATTGTGATTGAAATCATCAAGATTGTGATTGAATAATGTCCGAATTTGAAACAAAAAAAACATAGAATTTGATTCAAAACAGTGGAATCTACTCACCGACATCCTATCCTCACATTGGGTACACTATTCAATGTTCGAAAAAACAAATTATTGGAAACAATGAAAGAATCAGTTTTTACACCCACACACACGAACAACGGCGTAGTAAACGTTAAACTGATTACAAATTTTTGCCTAACAGGCAAACCGAATGATTCACAACTTTATGCCGGTTCTCTCGAAACGATAAACAATCTTCAATTTTTTTATGCCACATTCCATCAATCGGACGTAACAGGGTGTCAAAACTAAACTTTGATGATTTTCAGGACGATACAAATACACATGGTGAATGACCACATGTCAATGTAGAATATTTTATAAAATCAGTAACACTTGAAAAATGATGATAGTTCTTTCGCAATTAAGCATGCCCTTCAATAAAAAGTCGGGGTTTCATATTGTCAATCCACTCGAAATGTACGACTTGATCCAACAACAACACTGGAGATCATGGAGGGTCATAACAGCGTCATAAAACAGGGTTTTTTCGTGAAAGAAACATTCACTGTGTACCAATGAACTCAATATAAGTTCATTGGTGTGTACGTATAATATGGAATGATTTCATTTTCAGCCAAACTCTATCTATTTCTGAGGAATTCCCTGAAATAGGTCAATTTTCAATCTCAATTCGCCATATTCATACGGGTAAATTGAATATACAGGGTGATCCACGTAAGACTATAATGACGTCCGCGACAATGTTTTCGAATGAACACCCCATATATGATTCAATTTTTGGAATCTCCATGGAAAGCTGCATTCGAAAATATATCACACATGGACTTTTTATACAGTGCGTCCGTTAAATTCAGTGCTTTCTTTTCAATGTAGTGGGTGACCATGAATTTCTTGTGACTTTTCCATATTTACTATTTGGTGAACAATCACACCTAATGAGAAAACTTGATATTTTTCTGAAAATTCATGTAACACAACTATTTAGTGAAACCTTCAAAGTGGAAACAAAGATTGAAGAATACCATTTAAAATAATTTGTATAATTTTTTATATATTACTCAAGAGCAATTTGTCTCTCATGGTTCTTTCGAAATTTGTTGACATCTGACCTTCATTTGACATCTAAAACTGAATGACTGTTAGCTGCTATGATTGTTCAGTAAATATGGAAAACTCACCAAAAACTCATATTTCTTGTTGATTCTCCTTAAAATATGTCATTGAAGTAGATCATGAGTATATACAGTGTGGCCAATGACAAAATTAGAAGAGCTTAGTAGATGTAAATCAGTAAATGCGTATCCAAAAGCACGTGGAAAAAGAAGCTGAAATTTAGGACTTTCTCGTGATATATCTCAATGAATAGTTGTTTCTTCACATTTCCATTATCCATAGATGAACGATGTTTCATCTATGCATTATCAAATTCGTGTTTCTGAGAGGAAAAGAAGTAACCACAATTTTTTTTTTCGAAAAAATGGAAGAAAGCATAATAAGCATAAAGAACTGTATTCACTTTTGGGTGTATGAGAATATTCCTTTTTAACTGTATTCACACTGGCAACTTCACTCAGCTACATAAGCAAAAAATATATTTGGAAAGCATCTGGCATATATGTATAACGTTTCGTTATCATATAACGGTCGAAATTTGCAGGCGGCTCTCCTGCTATAACCGAATTTAAAACAAATAGACCGTTGTAAAGAGATTTTGAATACCTCTCTAAGGTGGGTAAATTGGGTAAAACTGCATTTATCATGCGATGGTTTTTTTTTCGAATATTATTGGTGGTACTCACGTATTTTTGTCTGAAATACACGAATCTGATAATGAAAATGTGAACAAACCATTATTTATTAGGATATTTGACTATAAAGTTACAAATATCACCTCCTTTTCCGCCTGTCTTCTTGATGGCATTTAGAACAATTTGCTATTCTTTTTTCATCTTTGGACAATTTAAACAGTGTGTCCATTTAGTGCGTAATTCTTCGATATCCCGAAAGCCATAACCTATAGAGAAAAACTTTGGAGTAAAAACTTTTTCAGTTACTAAAGTTGCTCATTTCAAAATTATTTTCAACATTACTGGGTGTTTCATAACAGCAGGGCAACTCGAAGAAGAGTTTTTTCAAATGGAACACCCAGTATTGTTCATTCGGAATTTATTCCGTCAAGGTTCACCTTCACATCGCTGTAAAAAAAAATTGAAATCGGTTGCGGCGTTGCCAAGTTATAATCGATAAATCTATTTTTACCATTATTGAAGAGTCATGTTGAATTGGGCATGGTATATTCATTTATTCAGATTTTGAAAATATTTTTGGCATACGGTAGGAGCAAGGTCCAACGTATACCAATCCAGTAATTTTGCGACATGTTCTTCAACAGGGTGCTCAATTTTGCATTTAGAATTTTGCAAGATTCAGATGACATTCATCAGAATTCTTCAAATGGAACACCCTGTATTTTTAATCAAAAATTCATTTCGACATCTTTCGCCTTTTTATCGCTGGAAAACAAATCGGAATCGGTTGCGGCGTTGTCAAGTTATGGTTGATTTCCTTATTTTTACTACTATTTCGGGGTAATTTGTACGTCATAGTTCTTTCATTTATTTGTATTGTGGAAATATTGCGTTGCTACGGTATAATATCAAATTTGTTCATTGACCATTCATATATTTTTTTACAAAAGGAACATTTACAGGCTCTCCAAGTATGAATTTTTTTCAAAATATTTGTGTAATGACCTGTCAAAAATCGCTACAATCAAAAATATCTTGGATTGATCATATACGTATTAATAATCAATACGGATAATCTCTATCTGTTTCCATGGCGAAACATGAAGCCGATTTTTGAAGACAAATGACTATCCATAAGGAAAAGTTTTGAAACGATCAGACACATACTGCTTTGATTGAAAGGCTAGTAAACGTCATTGTCCACCGAAACGCATGTCTTTGAATTTGTGTGAAAACAGCAGCCGCAGTTGGCAGCCACTTCGCCAGAGATGCTCGATTATGTACCGTGCGCCCAAAGAAAGAAGATGCACGAAGGAATGATAGCAGCCATTTTAATCCAATAGACGATCGTATACACGAGAACTCTTGTAATATTTTTAACCATATTATATCGAATTGAAATACATATCGATCGGATATAAAGAATGAGATATACTGCCTGACTCTGAACTCATTATGATAAGAAAATATTAAAAATCATTATTTTTGCGAATATTTGTTGTATAACTCAGAAAGGCTCTACAGTGTGCACGGAGTTTTCCTTCTCAAAGTGATCAGGGAAAGGATGAGAACTATATTTCCTGATTCGAAACTCATTGGCCCCCCGTCAAAATGATGAAAAAATTTTAAAAATCATTATTTTTTCGATTATTCGTTGTATAACTCAGAAAGACTATCGTGTGCACAAAGTTTTCTTTCTCGAATCGATCAAGGATGGAATAGAGATTATATTTCTTGATTCGAAACTCATTGGCCCCCCGTCAAAATGATGAAAAAATATTAAAAATAATTATTTTTTCGATTATTTGTTGTATAACTCAGAAAGGCTATCGTGTGCACAAAGTTTTCTTGCTCAAATCGGTCAAGGAGGAGATAGAGAAAATATTTCCTGATTCGGATTTCATTGGCCCCCCGTCAAAATGATGAAAAAATATTAAAAATCATTATTTTTTCGATTATTTGTTGTATAACTCAGAAAGGCTATCGTGTGCACAAAGTTTTCTTGCTCAAATCGGTCCAGAAGGAGATAGGGAATATATTTCTTGATTCGAATTTCATTGGCCCCCCGTCAAAATGATGAAAAAATATTAAAAATCATTATTTTTTCGATTATTCGTTGTATAACTCAGAAAGGCTATCGTGTGCACAAAGTTTTCTTGCTCAAATCGATCAAGAAGGAGATAGAGAATATATTTCTCGATTCGGATTTCATTGGCCCCCCCGTCAAAATGATGAAAAAATATTAAAAATCATTATTTTTTCGATTATTTCTTATATAACTCAGAAAGGCTATCGTGTGCACAAAAATTTTTTCCTCAAATTGGTCGAAGAGGGGATGAAGAATATATTTCTCGATTCGAAACTCATTGGCCCCCTGTCGAAATGATGGAAAAATATTAAAAATCATTATTTTTTCGATTATTTGTTGTATAACTCAGAAAGGCTATCGTGTTCACAAAGTTTTCTTGCTCAAATCGGTCCAGAAGGAGATAGGGAATATATTTCTTGATTCGAATTTCATTGGCCCCCCGTCGAAATGATGAAAAAATATTAAAAATCATTATTTTTTCGATTATTTGTTGTATAACTCAGAAAGGCTATCGTGTGCACAAAAATTTTTTCCTCAAATCGGTCGAAGAGGGGATGAAGAATATATTTCACGATTCGAAACTCATTGGCCCCCCGTCAAAATGATGGAAAAATATTAAAAATCATTATTTTTTCGATTATTTCTTGTATAACTCAGAAAGTCTATCGTGTGCACAAAATGTTTTTCCTCAAATCAGTCGAAGAGGGGATGGAGAATATATTTCTCGATTCGAAACTCATTGGCCCCCCGTCGAAATGATGGAAAAATATTAAAAATCATTATTTTTTCGATTATTTGTTGTATAACTCAGAAAGGCTATCGTGTGCACAAGAATTTTTTCCTCAAATTGGTCGAAGAGGGGATGCAGAATATATTTCTCGATTCGAAACTCATTGGCCCCCCGTCGAAATGATGAAAAAATATTAAAAATCATTATTTTTTCGATTATTTGTTGTATAACTCAGAAAGGCTATCGTGTGCACAAAAATGTTTTCCTCAAATCGGTCGAAGAGGGGATGAAGAATATATTTCTCGATTCGAAACTCATTGGCCCCCCGTCGAAATGATGGAAAAATATTAAAAATCATTATTTTTTCGATTATTTGTTGTATAACTCAGAAAGGCTATCGTGTGCACAAAAATTTTTTCCTCAAATCGGTCGAAGAGGGGATGAAGAATATATTTCTCGATTCGAAACTCATTGGCCCCCCGTCGAAATGATGGAAAAATATTAAAAATCATTATTTTTTCGATTATTTCTTGTATAACTCAGAAAGGCTATCGTGTTTACAAAA